AGCCCACTTTTTTTTCATTTCAATTATAAATATTGTAACAATTTCACAGGTTTTAAATTAAGATATGTTTTAACTTTTTTTTTCAGTTATGCCTTAAATTCTTTATTGCAACCCATTTTATGTCCCATCATTAATATTTGTAAAGAAAAACCTGAAGGCAAAATTTCATAATGGTTTATAGTAGAAGTAAATGACTTACATAAATCTTATTAGTTTAATTTATTGAATCAAATAAAAACTACATAATATCTCAATCTATTTAACATTTTGCATGAAAAATCCTAAGGCTCAATTTGGAAGAAATACAAATGCAAATATGTATAACATAAATACATATAAAATAATACAAAATATAAGGTTTTGCACTTTACATATTTGCATTTGTACTCCTTCTAAATTCAGCCTAACCAACTGATTCAAACCATATGCAGAAAAACTAGCGGGTGGGTTTTGCCCAATTCCGTACAATAATGGACTGGATCTGCTATCCACATACCCATAGAATGTCATATAGCTGTACATCTCGAACTTCATCATGCAATATTGATAGGATTGTCATGAGATGTACAACTATTGCCTCTTGTGGGTGATAAGAGTTAAGACCTGCCGAATGCTTAAGAAATGAGTATATAAAATTAAAATAAACTATATATTTGAAATTGCATAAAAAATACATATAACAGAAAATGGCACTGAATAGAATGGGATGGATCATGTAAACAACCCCATGTAGTAAGGCAGGTTTAAATGATGATGATGATATTTGATTAATTATTAAGTGTTTAAAAAACTATTTATTATTATTAAATCATAGAGGAGGGGTAAAGGGGTAGGGATAAAACAGGGTAAATGCGGGTTTTCACTTTCATATTTGAAGGGATGCTGAGGCGTCAAGTGACCCAAGGTTTTTAGAATCGGACCTGACAGGGATTCCTGGGTCGAATAGCTTGACCGTCCGGCTCAATTGGATGTTCATTCTGATTTAAAAAATAAAAACGGCTAAAAACTATTGGCAAAGTCAACAGTTCAGTTATTGGATCGCCCAAATCAATAGGTTGATCAAATCAACAGTTTTTTACCAAAAAGCAAATTTAAGATGAAGCGAAATCAATTACATAACTGATTCCCAAATTTTCCGGTCCAACCATCCGGTCCCCTCCAATTTTTGAAAACCATGAAGTGACCATCTCATCTATTGAGACATAGACAAGAAACTATATATTGGTCTTTAATAATCACCCTTGCCAATCTAATAAATACATCTCAGTGGGTTTATTAAAAACAACCTAACAGTATAGCTGCGTTCAGTAAAGAAAGAAAAAAAAGAACCGACAAGAGCACACATATGTATATTATAATATTAGTTTAAGATAAGGAGATCAGATTAACATAGAAAGCTTTATGGAAGGGCACGTGGATCAGTGCATGCATCAGTCTTTAAAAATTATATATATTTAATTTGAGTTATTTCTTTTTCGAATAATATATAGGCAGCATTCTCAACTTGACTTTGATAACTAATATTATAAATTTGTTTTTAATTAATTACTGGGATCCATATTTAAATTAAAAATAGGATAAATTATAGATTAGAGAACTTTAAAATGTATTTATATAATATCTAAACTCTTGAAAACTGTCGGTTTAATCTAAAATAGCTAGCTATTGATGTTAAGTGGTATGTTTGTCATTTAATGAAGCTCATGCTCCATAGACAAACAATGAAAGTGATGCTAAAAGCTAAAACCAAAAAAGAAATGCAATGAATTGTATATCAGGCCAAGACTACATTGGCTCTATTGGGCTCCAGATTGCTCTCCACATTGTTAATTAGGATGAACTGCAACGCAATATGAGGTTAAGTGAAACCTCTGTACAGATCGAGGTTGAGCTCAAAGATAGCATAAACAATGGTGGTACAACAAGCGAGGATTGCAATTTTGCCACTGTTTATGCTATCTCTGAGACTGTCGCATAGCTTTTCAAGCCATGGCACAGTCTTCCTCTGATAAATGATAATGGTATCCCCTTGCTCATCTTTTTTGTATGATTGTCTAGACAAGTGTTATAAGAACTTAGAGATCATAAATGTTCAATGAATTCAAAATGATAAAGACACGATACCTTTAGGTTATGTTTGGTTTGAAGGAAAGTGTAGGGAGATCAGCCGTTATAAATCTTGTATTAGATTCCTTGTCTTTCCCTACCTTTTCCTTCAAACCAAACATAATCTTATTTGATTATGGATAGAAGTCATCAGCATCTAGTAAGAGCAATTCATGGCCTTGCCTAGAGAGAGAGAACCAATGTGCTAATTCATTAGCCAGTTGGAAGCTGGGGAGTAGAGAGTGGCCCCAAATGATGAATTCGCCAAACCAAATGATGAAATCCATCACCAAGAAAACACAAGGGGAGTGGGGTGGCAATCAGGTTGAGTTCACTCTGCCTAGGTTTGGGAAGCAAGTGATAGTTAGGGCTGTTCATTAACCGATGAAACCGACCAACCTAACCCAACTTAGCCCGAATTGGTCGGTTTTCTAATTATTTCAATTATTTTGGTTCAGCTTTTTTGCTAACCTAAGAATTCGATTTGGTTTTGGTTTGGTCATCTATAAATTGGCCAAAACATGCTCTGCCCAACCATAGATATATATTAATATTTTATATTATAAATTTATGTTTTTTTAATATGGGAAAGTGGGAAAATTCTCATATTTCATACTTTAAAATATTTTATACTATAAAATTTAATTTTTAACAATATCATTACAATTCTTTAAAATGTACCAATTCAGTATCTAAACTTTAGGTTTAGTCTTACTTTGGTTCCTGATCTTTAAAATGTACCAATTCAGTATCTAAACTTTTAAAACGTGCTAATTTAGTTCATACAATTAGTAGTCCGTCGGTTATTTCTATCACATGTGTGACTTAAAACTTTTGAAAATATCAAAATTACCTTTCAAAATAAGACACTGTTCATCTTCTTCCTCAATAATCAAAATTAAACCAAAGCAATATTGACAAAATAAATTGAGTATGATGTTATTTTGACATTTTCCGTGCAAAGAACTAGTTAAGACACTTTTCATCTTGGTTAATAAAGAAAATTAGATAACACCCAAAAAATATTTGTATCTGGTAGGTACTAAATTAATGCGTTTTAAAAGTTTAGATGCTGGATTATAACGTTTTAAAATTTAAGGACTAAAATGAAACTAGGCCCAATTACAGGGTATTAATATGCAATTTAACTAAAAAGAAATGGGTAAACTATAAAAACCTTCCCTAAAATTTCTGACAATAATAAAAGCTTCACCTCTAGTTTAACTTCAGCAAAACTCTCCCTTCTATTTTCAAAAAGATCAACAAAAATCTCCCTTCTATTAATGAACCCGATGGAAAATGTTGAAAATTACATTTTTATCCTTATACATCATCTAAGCTATTTGCAAAATACCATTTTTACCCTTACTTGAAAAACTCGTTACACTCTTGAGAAAACAGTCACAGTGCTCGAAATATTCTACTTCTTGGAATATTCCGGCGACGATTCTTCACCGGACGATGGCCATGCTTCGTCGTGTAGGCCGATTCTCCACATTGGATTCGTAAAACTTGTTTACTTTGTTCAGTTCGTGATCAAACTTTCTGAAGTACACGATCTCGTACTCTCCCCTTCATCGGTGGGCATGAGAAAATTAGTCTTATAATAGCCATATGATCCCTCCTTGTGAATCGATTGACAAGGTAAGCCAGTAGGCAATTAAGCAAGCAGCTTCCAAGATTGGAATATAATTCTACTGTGTTTGGTTTGAGAGAAGGTAGGGACGTAAGGGAAAGGGAGGAAAACCTGTACAAACACTATAGGCTTCCCGCTTCCCTACCTTTTCCTACCTTTTATTTCAAACCAAGCATAGCAAAAGAACCAAGGAAGAAATCTAAAGAACAAATGGATGCCAATTTACCAAACTCTCAGATAGCGCTGTGAGTCGTAACCACTCAAAATTGGCGATTCTCAGATAGCGCTGTGAGTCATTAAATGGAATACGTGTTGCGTCTATGGGTGCACTAACAACTGACTGGCATGCCCATGTCGCTAAAGAAAGATTCAAGCCAAACTGCCCATCATACAGAAACATTATGGAGTGATGGCTAGCACAAGTCACTACTCACTGGGTATACCAAGTGATTTGCAGGAGGGGAATTGGAGCAGTTGTAGTAGAAGAAGAGATTTAGTGATTATCGCCAAATTCAAAGGAAGTGCTGTTGAGGGTAAGGCCGGACAGGATTTGTTGTTCAATGCCCTGGTGTTCACCACCTAGAACGAATTGTTTGAGTAGAAGATGTCTTGGATGAGGTAATCGTCATCTAGCATCTTAAGGACGGCCTCGCTGTTCTGGCAGGTGACCTCAGATCTTGGAAGGCTGCAGTAGGATTTCTGGGGAGAAGGAATCCAAAACGGGTAGCTTATATTTGGGCCCTTGCCACAATTTCTAGGTGCACAAGCTTCGAACTATGGGTCTGTTGATCGAGTTTCTTGTGCCAAGGTTCTGAGCATCATGAAGATGATATTGATCAATACAGGGGAAAATTGTCCTGACTGCGGACGAGTTGTTTTGATCCATTTGGGAGGAAAAGATAAACAGGACAAAGTGGAGAGCAAAGGAGATAAAAAAAGATGTAATGAGAGGGAGAAGAAGACAGGAAGGAATCAAGGCGATTTTCTTTCGTTGTTGGTTGGAGAGGGCAAAGGGTATTTTAGTAAACATAGGTACACAATAACTCGTATACGGGTAAAATGGGTATTTTAAAAAAATTATCATCCATTTAACGTTTCCGTCAGGTTTATTAATGGATGGGAGGTTTTTGTCGATTTTTTTTTGAATATAAGAGAGGATTTTGAAAGGTTTTATTATTATCAGAAAGTTCAGAGGAGGTTTTTGTATTTTACCCAAAAGAAATTATGGATACTCGTGGTTCGTGGATGGCCCATCCTGAATTCTCTTTCCGCCTCTCTCTCTCTCTTTCTGCCAAAGTGGTAGAGACACGCGAGACACGCTCTTTTCTTTTCGCACTTTCCGCTCTCCCCTCCCTCTGTTTCCAATGGCGGGAGATGATCTCAGCTCTCCTCTTCTCGCGTCCGAACGTCTCCTAGACTCTTCTCCCGAAGTCGAAGTGATCCTGGACATCGACGCTGATAGCACCGACCGCTGTGACAAACCTTCCATTCAGCGGTGCTCCGATCATCACGGCAATCACCAAGGAGCACAAGCACTTCTAGAGCCCCCTGATGATCAGAATCCATTTCATTTCATTGGTGCTGGTATCTTTTCCGTCCCCCCGCAGACGACCATCGATCCGTTTCGGAACCACACGCCCGATATCCAAGGTCTCTACGAATGGCTGAAGATTCTGGTCTGTATTCCCCTTGCGATTGCTCGGCTTGTCTTGTTCGTTCTCTCCCTTGCGGTCGGCTACGTCGCCACCCGATTCGCTTTACAGGGTTGGAAGGATAAGCAGAATCCGATGCCGAAATGGAGGTGTAGGTTCATGTGGATCACTCGCCTCTGTTCTCGTTCCATTCTCTTTTCTTTTGGGTAAGTTGCTGCCTAGGGTTTATCCTTTCTCTATCTGTCCTAAATTTCAGTGCAAACAGTTGGATTATTCTACGTTCTCGATTCATTATTCAATTAGCCAGAAAAAACAAATCACTGGATGCGTTTATAATCTCTCTCTCTCTCTCTCTTTCTCTCTCTCTTCATGGTACTTCTGTTATATGGAGAATTATAAGCTTGCGATGTTAGTGCTTATAGTTATTAGGGCATTAATGTGGAGACAACGACAACAATGAGTTTTGAACGCTGGATACTGCGGTGCTTACACATGGTTTACCATAGTAGCAGCCCCAAGGTCTTTAACCTATATAATTCTTGTGCTAACCGTTCCTTTACGCAATAGCTCTAAATCATGCTAATCCCTTGATAGTCCAAAAACTAGTACTTTGATTAGAACTTTCTGGTCATTTTTGAAACGCGGAGGTGATAACCAGATTTGTGCCTAGTCTAGAAGCCATGCCTGTGTTACAAGGTTTCCGGTAAAGCAGCTCGAGTTCAGTCTAACCGTCTAAGTTCGTATTGGTGTCTGACATTAGTTGGGATGCCCGGATCTTATATTAATAAGAAGAAGAGTTACAGTGACAGGGCGGAAGAGAAAAGAAGAAATAGAGAGAGATGCTACCGGTGCAAAACCAGAAAACTGTCAAAGAGGAAAGAGCTGGAGCACTTTGTTGATTTTTTTTTTTTTTCACACCGATCTTTTCACCATCTGAACATTGGGAATCGTTGAGGGGAAGAAAGAGAGAAAGTGGGATAGGCTGAACGAATAGACCAAATTGAGATGACATACACATGAGACGCTCCCAAATGTAGGCAGCATTGCTGAATGAATAAACAGCCATTAGATACAACATTTTGCTATAAGTTTATATATAAATATATATTTGATAATACTATAAGTTCATCTATTACATTATTATTTTTTTAAAGAGAAAGAGAAAATCGAAAAGAAATGTTAAGTGGCCTCTCAGAAGCATGATTTAACGATTGTTGTCCTTCATTACTGTTCTTTCCATGTTCTGGAGGTCTTTCATTAGTGGCTATCTTACCGATGAAAAAAATACTTGCTGTTTGTACAGCATTTCAACTACTAGCAGTTGAAATGCTACTACTACTACTACTACTACTACTACTAATAAGCATCAATATTACTTTTTTTTTGAATAAGGTAAGGTAGTTTTTATTAAAAAAGAAAAGGAAAGAAAGTATACAAGAGGTATACAAAAGGAAAACACGAGAAGGCAGGAAGACGGCTACTCTAGCTGACCGAGTTGCTTCTGCCTCTGCCTCTTCTACCCCTCCCCCTGGTGCTGCGTGCCCCTCAGGAAGGAGGATTAGCAACCGGCAAATCATAACAATCCATATCCATCAATAACTTGGATTTTTCTGCTCCTGAGCGGAAGCTCGAATGTGCAGATGAAAAATCCGACCACGAGCTCTCTGTCTACACATCTTATCCGAGACAGGACAAAAGTCATTCCTAGAGGCATGAGCCTTCACCTCGTCGGCGAAATTAGCTCTAAGCAAGTCCTGTATTTGAGGTTCTTGCTCCACTGGGTAGGACACCCCTAGAAGCTTCACGAAATCCATCGCTTTCTCCACCTGATCTGCACCAACCACTTGTGCAGAGCAACCTTCCTCCTCTTGCAGGTCAGAGTCAGACAGGGATTCCCGATTCACTCACCAAATCTCCATCAAAACTGGTCTCACCTTGTGCCAGACAAGATGTCAAACCTGACTGCATTTTGGTCATCACCACGCAAAGGGTTCTAGATTTGATTCTCAAATCTAGAACATTGGGAACTATGCTGGAAGGTGTTGAATGGGTGAATTATTTTTCTTCCTGATTAATCTTGACTGGAAAATGAATCATGCATTATTTTATCTGTTCATATTTCTCTTCGTGAAACGTGGGTAATCTCATTTAAGTTGCAGATAGGATTTGTAAGTGTTTTGGTCCATGACTCAACCAAAAAGAAGAGGTAAAGTGATGTGGAGAGCCACTAGAACTGCAATTCTATGGACAATATGGGATCTAAGGAGCAATGTAGAACACTGGATATTATTATTGAGAATATTACAATGGATATCTGCAAGGATTTTTCAATGGACAACATGATCCGATTTTTTTCTTTTGATGGATAAAAAGAACATATATTAACCATAGCCAAAATTACACAAAAAATTCCCGAGCTTGTCCAGGGGTTCCTCCAAGCATCCACAGGATAAAAATGAATTTTGATGGCAGGTCACTTAGAAATCCAGGGCCCTGGGGTATTGGGAGAATCTTTAGGGATGATTATGGATCTTTATTCAGGTCCTATCCTACTGGCTATGGAGACTCTTTTAAAGAAGAAATTTTTGCATCATTGAAAGGCCCAAGACTAGCTAAGCAGCTGAATCTCAGGCATATCGAGGTTTAAGGGGATTCCATGCTAGTGGTGGGCTGGTTGAATAATAAGAACAACAGATTTTGGCATACAGGCAAGTTTTGAATGAATGAAATTAGGCAGCTAGCAAGAGAGGTAGAGATCTGCTTTAGATAGGTTTATAAACCAGCAAATGGTTTGGCTGATTCCCTAGCCAAACAAGGGGTATCTAAAGAGCAATTATTTTGGGATTCTTTGCTTGTTTAATGGGGTTAGGGGTTTGACTCAGTGGGAGCTGAAAATTGTATATTTCTTTGTATAGGTTTTGATTTAATAAAAGTTATTTCTGTTACTGATAAAAAGACACTCAAAATCAGTTGGACATGGATCATTTTCATTATTGGTAATTTTGAATGTGGAGATCTATGTCTCCTTTGTTTCGATTTTCTTGCAACCTACAATAGATTATTTAACACAAATTCTTACATTCCAATGAATTGTAGAAATTTGAGAGGCTTCATGTTATCATAGTGTTATCTCCTTTTTCCCTTAATCATTGACTCCATTGATTTTACAAGTTTAAAATAATGCTTTATTTTTATTCTTTTTGTTTCAGCTATCATTGGATAAAGCGCATAGGAAAACCAGCTCCAAGGGAGATTGCTCCAATTGTTGTATCTAATCATGTAACATACATTGAACCAATTTTCTTTTTCTATGAACTTTTTCCAACCATTGTTGCTTCTGAGTCCCATGATGCCATACCCTTTGTTGGAACAATTATCAGAGCAATGCAGGTAATGTAATGCCTCTCTTTCCTTTGTGGTTGATTAGACTATTCTTCTGATGGTTGCAATTTTATTTTATTACCAAAAAAAAATCTTCTGATGGTTGCTGGTATTTAAGAATGCATAATCTGTAGTTGTTTGTTCTATGACATGGTTAAGGCCTGATTTATGTTTTCCCTATGTTGTATTTTCTTAGGTTATTTATGTTAATAGGTTCTCAGCACCTTCAAGGAAGCATGCCATTAACGAAATAAAGGTAGAAAAGGCTCTACTTCTCAAATGAACTATTAACATTAACTTTCACTTTTTCTTTTCTTTCTATGATCAAGTAATAAGTTCAGGAAAGATACACTAAATTCATTATATGACATAATCTCCTAACTGCAATTAACTATAATTCTTTGATCTGTTTGGAAATGTCAAGGAAGTGGCTAAATGGGATTGGTTGGAACCATGTGCATTGCCCGCAATATGAGAACAAGTCAAGTCTCCCATTTTTCAGGCACTGCATTTCTTTTTCTTATCCATATCTGATACTCATTTCCTTTTTCTTCTTTCTGCCTCTCATAGATGTCTGAACTAAACTCAGATGGTTCACAGCCAGATAGTCAAGAATCTCTCTCTCTCTCTCTCTCTCTCTCCAGCATGATCCCTTGACATTGTCAAGTCAGCTTAATTAGTCAGCAGGTGTTGTTCTTATCTTGGTTCTAAGTGCTAACCACTTAAACAGCATCAATACAAGCACCTCCTGGATTCTTTCTAAGATTCTGTTTTAAGGCCTTAAAACAACATTGACATAACCACCCTCCACCTAAGATTCTCTGTTAGTTTGGAGTTCAAAAAGAATCCTTTATTCTTCATCCCACCCTTTTTTTTGATCAGTCACCCTTTTACTCATGGAGTTTACACCAGAAAAGAGCTTACCACATGTTTAAAATAATCTCATAAGAGAGACATGATTGTTGACAATGTTGACTGTGTACTGTGCCATACACAAGGGGAATCAGTCAATCACATTCTTGATTCTTCTGTAATTTACTAGCTTGGCTTAGGTAGCAGAGGCTAGCCTAACAGAGAAAAGGCTGGTGTTCAGCACTGCTTGTACATATGCTGTTCTTCTATTCACTTTCAATAAAATCTTTATTGTTACCAATAAAAAAATTACAACAAACACTTGAATATGTGCCTTTTTTCTTACTTTATGGAAATAAGCTCGAAAGGGGTAGTTTTATATCAATTTATAAGCTATTTGATACAGAAATGTGTTTTCAAGGATCTGAATACAGAGAAAGGCTTCATGCGATAACTTTCCTCGAGTTCTATTGTTTCCTGAGGGTACCACAACAAATGGAAGAGTACTCATATCATTCCAACTCGGTGCATTCATTCCTGGTTTTCCAATCCAGCCAGTGGTTGTTCGCTATCCCCATGTGCACTTCGACCAATCTTGGTAGGACCTTTTTTGCTTATAAATTTCCTGTACCTCAAGTAATACCTTTTTTGATTATTATATTCCAAACAATATCTTGTTAGCTGTTGCTTCATTTGATATGGCATTCTGTTTAGGGGACATATTTCTTTGGCAAAGCTCATGTTCAGAATGTTCACCCAATTTCACAATTTCATGGAGGTACACACTCTTATCCTACACATGTTAATTTTTATCATATCTTCATCATGTCGTTTCAAGTATTTGCTTATTAACCTTTTCTAGACATTGAATATTAAGTTGTTGCTGGAATTTTTTTCCTGTTCTTCCTCTTCATTAGCCAAAAATGAAGCAACTATACCTGATAGCTGATGCCAAGATGATTCCTTCTTGTTTCCTAAACTGTTGTACTTGCTACATTTCTCACTGTATCTATATATCACCTTCAAGTGGTCTTAAACATTTTTCTAGTTCATATTAACTTATCTCTCATAAATTCTTCTAATTGGTTTCTGAATTCTGACACTATTATGAAGTTTTTAATTAAGTATTCTCATTCTGAATTTTACAGGTAGAGTACCTTCCCATTGTTACACCACTAGAGGGGCAAAAAGAAAGTCCTGTTCATTTTGCTGAGAGGGTGAGGACATATTAAGTATCCTTTCTTGTTGAACATATTAACTGTTTTAACAGAACAAAAAAATACTTCAAGTTCAAATAATTATTACTTGCTTGGCAGAATTTGGCACTCAGAACTATAAAACTTCTTGCTGCCACTTGCAACTTACAGTAGGGACTATCTTTAGAATTGTTTCTCATCTTGTTCATGAAACAGAAGTCTATAAAACTTCTTGCTGCCACTTGCAACTTACAGTAGGGTCTTTATCTTTTAGAATTGTTTTTCATCTTGTTCATGAAACAGAAGTCTATATGTGCTCCAAATAAAAAATATAAATCGAGGAAATTGGGTGCAATTAATGGAGGAGTATGAGGCAACTAGCAATGCGTCTAAGAGGAAATATATATTTATTCAACTGGAGGCACTAATCAATTCAGCACCATCTTTCTCATGGCTGAAGCCACTGAACTTGATGGTGTCCACTCAAGAAATTGGAGAAACCCCCTGTCCACTCCTCCCCCATGTCTTTGTTGACAAGAAGAACCTGTTCAGATCTCTCCCTTTTCTTGGCTGGATGCCTGGCTCAGTGAAGCAACTTGTGTGACTCCTGGTGTCTTTAGCCCCTGATTAGATCCCTACTCTTCACTCTCCACCACAAACCTAAGCACATAATTCTCATCGGCAACCACCAGATCCTTGTTCTTTGTAATCTCATTCAATGACTTCCCCAAACGAAAAGATGCAGGGAATATGCAAGACTCCTGTTTATGTTTATCTTTTTACAAATTTGATGAATTGCCTCTCCGAAGTGCATTCCCTATTTCCTTAAAAATAGGTTTATACCACACATTGAAGGATGAACCCAAAACTCTCACCCACAAGGAACAAACTTCTAGGCAATTTTATCAGTGCAAACTGAGGAACCCATCTCCCCCAGATGAACTCAATGACCATTGAAGGTATTGTGTCTGTGCTGTGCTTCATAAAATTCAATGCTTCATCTTTCAAGGAAAGAATAAACAGGAGACCACAGTCAAGCTTTCTCACCTTTGGTTTGCATCAACATTGCCATCCTTTAGCCACCCACATCTCCACCTTCTAGATTTCCTAGCTTGTATCTTCCAACCACCTGACAAGGCACTTATACAAAAATTCTTCTCTCCTCGATTCCTTCTTTTCTTACCACCACTTTGTTATCTCCACCACATTCCTGAAGCTCTATCCTTCTCTTTAAGACCTAGGTCAACAGCATCAATGGCTAAGCACTAATCCTATGTCTTAGAGTATCAAAGAACATCCTGCCTCCCTATGGAGGAGGTTGGAGAACTCAAATACCCACTCTAGACACTAATTGACAATGTAGGATAGTATGGAAGGCAGCTAGGGCAGCAACTATTTGGACAATATGGGAAGAAAGAAATGAAAGAATATTCAAGGAAAGGTGCAAAACCTTAGAAGATATTATAGCGAGTATAAAGGTAAAGGCTGTTCAGTGGGTAAAAACATTGAACATTTCAACTGGTTTCAGTAGATGATATCCAAAGAGCTTGGAATGAAGTAGCAAGCTCTTCCACTTTGAAGGACAAAATAATAATGGAATTGAAGCCCCCTCCAAATAATAGAATAAAGCTGAATTTTGATGGAAGTTCCATGGGTAACCCAGGATTGTCAGGAATTGGAGGTGTATTCAGGGATGCAAAGGGGAAGGTGGTGTCACTGTTCTCTAGTCCGATTGGAATGTGGGGCTCTTCAAGAGCTTAAGTGTTAGCTTTACTCCAAGGAACAAAGATAGCAAAGCAACATGGTTTTCAGCATGTGGATGTTGAGGGGGAGTCAAAACTGGTGATCTCTTGGATGAATGACAGCAGCCCAGGCATGTAAATTCACAGACATACTATAAGAGAGTTCAAGAACATCGCGAAGGAGTTAGGGGCAATTTTTAGAAGGGTGAAGAGAACAGCAAATGGGATGGCTGACATCTTGGCTAAACAAAGGTTGCATAGGGAACAACTTTTTTGGGCAGATTTGTAATTGATTCATATAACATAAATATTGTGTAATATGTTCTAATTGAAATTAATGAAATGAACTGTTTGCTGATTAAAAAAACCAAAGTTACAATGTCTTAAAAAATAAGATAAATGCAAAATCACCTGAGAAATGACATAGGCCTCTTAGTAGACACAATGGACCCTAAAACATACAATAGGGAATCTTCCACAGACCAAATGAATAAGCAATTAACATTTGAAGATTGGGTAATCCAATCTCTTCTGATGCAAATTTGGAAGGAATTGAGGTAAAACAGCATAGATGACCCAAACTTATGTGATCAAACATTCGTTTGTTCATTTTTCTTTCTTCTTTTTCTTATGTGTGTGTGGGGAGGTGTTGTACCTAGTGTTTTGTAGCTACACTAATTTGGGGCTATTTTTCTCAGAACCAAATGTAGTGCCTGCAAGACATACTTTTATTATAGAAGTAATTGCAAGCATCAGTACTTCTGTTAACATGATTTTCCTCTTTCAGCATCTTTCATGGCAGTTGATACATGCTCCTTTTGCTTTACATTTCAAGAACATGCTTCATTCTAGTTAATGCAGAATTTTTGGACCTGTAGGACTTATCTTGTAGGTCAGCTGATGTATTACACCAAAGCACTTGATGAGCGATATTTTGTATTTTAAAATATTAAGCATCTTTTAGAAGTGTGCAGTTATTTTGCATTACTTTCAATTTTATAATTCTGTCTCCTGATATTTACTCATTTCATTCTTGATCTAATAGTCACTTAGATTCTGGTGTAATAAATTTTTACTTGCAAGTTCATACTTAATATAATATTTTGCAGACTAGCTATGCTATTGCAAGTGCACTCAATGCTGTCCAAACATCTCATTCCTATGGAGACCTAATGCTTCTGGCACAAGCATCCAAGTCAAAACAGGTAAGAAGTGCTCCTTTTGCAAGCTATCTCACTAGGTTGGTCTTTATTTTGTACCTTTTCTCCATCTATTTCCAACCATTGATAGGTGGAGTGTTTTACTTCCTCTCATTAATTTGTGTTCTCTAAATGCTATTATCAAATGAAAACTCTGCAGTGCCAAATAAATATGCACCTATTGCAATGATACAATTAACCCTGCTACTGCGAGAAAGATGATATTATTATCCAATTTCAATGGTGACTTTTTTATCAATAATTTTATTGGTTACTTTTAATCTTGATATTCGGGGATTTCTGTGAAAGCACATTTGTACTTTAGTTCCATTAACATTAATTAATCATTTATTGATCCATAACATATTATACCAGCATATCAGGTGCTAGCCCTGAGTGGATCATGCACCGTATTATAGGTAATTGGATATTGATAAAAGAAGAAAATGGTATCTCTGTTGGTTGAGTATATTGTGAAACTTTGTCCTACAAATGTGCCTTAGAGCTTGCTGTCTTTCCCTATGTGAATCTTACAGTTTCTTTCTTCATAGGCCAGTTTGACAATAAGAGTAAAGGATTCTTGAGTAACAGTAGGTCATCATCATCCAAGTCTTATCCCAACTATATGGGTTTGGCTACATGAATCTTCTTTCACCAATCATCATTCTATTCTGTTTAATGCCATATCCACTGTTAAATTATGAGGGTTTATATCATTTCTTACCACTAAGGTCTGTCCTTTTTGTTCTACCCTAGCCCTTCTAGCCCCTTCAGCTTGCAAAATTCACTTCTTATGGGTGCTATTGACGGTCTTCATGACCAAATTATCTTAGTTTTATTTATTTTTTCTCTCATTTTATCACTTATTAGAGCTACTCCTAGGTTCCTTCAAATGACTTCATTTCTAACCCTATCCTTTCAAGTTTTTCCACATCCATTTCAAGCTCTCAGTATTCTTGAGTATTAGTAGGTATTAAGTAGCAAATAAAAATTGATATTTTGCAAACCCCTCTTTTTTGAGGTTTGAGTTGGCATAGTTAATATTACTTTTAATTGGGTTGTCTTCAGTTGATTGCTTTCTGATCTGATTTGACATGGCCCATTCCTGGTCCAGTTCCTAGGCAAATATTCTTTTATATATCTATTTCATATTGATATCTAGCATATTATAACTGATGAATGTCTTTCTAAACCTGCTTTTAGTGATCCCATGGATCTGGTTGTCATTGATTGTCTTTATGGTGAACAGTTCCCTATGTAGAGGGGTCCTCTCTAATATCTACATGGGTACATGCTTCTCGAATATATAGATTCTCACTTTTCAGACAATCTGCAATTGATTCCCTTAGCTCTACAAAGTAATTACTAATATATTCAGTGTGTACTCATGTCTTAAGTTGAAATAATTATGATGAAAATTTCCATTTATTTAACTAGTTCTTTTATGTTAACCTCCTATTATAGGTTTAACATCATCTCTTTGCCCCAAGTTGTTCCCAGAAGGGTGATATCTTTCTTGTTCCGGTTTGTCAGTAATCATAAAATATGGTGCTTTACATGCATATATTTATGTTTCCAGTAATTGAGTTAAAATTTTAACCATGAACTATGCTTGTCTATTCATTTATTTATTATTGTTGTTTATTTACCATTATTTTATTATTATGTTGCAGGAAAAGGCCTCAAGTTATATGGTGGAAATGGCTAGGGTGGAAAATGTGAGTCTCCATGTTGAATATCTTGATATCTACATATTTCCTTTTGGCTGTGCTTTAAGAGCTGGATATGTTTCCAGGAATGCATGTAGTAAAAATGTTTAGGTATGAATTGCTGTCTTTAGGCAAAGAGTGTGTAAAATGGAAACAAATTTTTTAATTCATGAGGCTACTTGCTTATACGATGAATATAACTAGGAAGTGTACTGAGAGTAATCCATAATCTACACCTTTTTCTGATTGTTAATCTATAATCTACATTTTGAAAATACTTAATACAGGACTATATATTAATTTATTAACAGAAAGTATTCCTTTCCCATCGGAGTGAGGCATCAGGGACTTGTTGAGCCCACAATGTATTTTGGCTGAAATATGTTATTTCCAAGGAAAATTAATGGGTTCACAGTGCAAATTGTTGTCTTTTTGTGATATTTCTCAAAATATTGACACATGGAATACATCAGCAGTAATATTGCTAATATTCTATTGAATTATGTAGTTCTAGGCATTCCTTGAATGGATATTTCTGGAGAATCTGGACCCTCATAAGTGAAAAATCTTGTGAACATGATAAACAAATTTTGGAATATCGCAAGCAAACAATGCTATTTTTATCAGCAAATGCCTTTGCTGATAATTTGGCAGAACAGGGGATGGGTAGGGGTCAATTGTTTTGGGCAATACTGTAATTCCCTTTTAATCCTTTGGGGGAGAGTTAAGCATTTTATCTCTCCCTAGTTCTCTGTATGTATTTGTGATTCTATTAATAAAATTGCTCTTTGTTATTGATCAAGAAAAGAAAAAACAATGCTATTTTTATATCATTTACAATATTTGCAATTTCTGAACGACTTCCCAATGCACTGTATGCCACTGAAGCTATAAAGTATAAACAAAGAATGCCCCCCAAAAAGGAGATCTCTTAAGAAACTTGTTTCCAATAGAACTTGAAAAGATGTTATTTGTAGCAATCCTGTTTAGTTGAGGGTTCCCTCATTAATTCCTACTGTTTTATCCTAGGTTGCTTCTTAAGAATTTTCTAAATTACTTTTATACTTGCTATGCTGGAATGAAGAGAAAAGCTTAATTGTTTCCTCCTATTTCTTTCCACAGCTGTTCAACATTAGCACGCTAGAAGCTATGGAATTCCTGGAAAAATTTCTTGCCATGAATCCAGATCCTAGGTAATGTCTAAGCAGCATTATTGTAGTACTGTTTTGGTTCAACATCATATCACATTGATGTTGAATGCATGTTCAACAGTTAATAGTTATTATTTTGTTTTGATCTTTTGTAGTTAGTCATTATATATCATTTTAGAACATGGAAGATCCATGGAGTGAATTTCTTCCCCAAATGTTAGGAAAAAGTGTAACATAGAGATCTGTAATCTGAGAAATTGTTGCACCTGTAGGAGACCAAGCATAAAACCCTTGCACATATATTGCTTTTTATAGTAAAGGAAATTTTATAAAATAAAAGAGAGGAAAACAAGAAATGATAACAAGATATCACTGAGTACAAAGGCAGAATGTAAAACACCACTTGACCCTAGACAACGAGATTTCTGAATAATTTATATTGAACAAAATCCCCCAAACCATTTAATAGAATAAGAACCTATCCACAAAATAACATAAACTTCACCATTCTAACAGAACAAAGCAAAACAACATTTAAATGCCCCTATCTCAGAATTATAACACTCTCTCCTCCAATGCTATGCTTCCTGAAAATTGGCCCATCAATCTCCAAATTGAAGTATTACAATTAATGATCTTCTTCATGCATTCCTACAGAAGAAATATCATAATCCCAATCATCCATTTCCACATACATAAGACCCCTAACAATCTACAAAGTTACTACCATACCGTGGATTCTGAATTTTTATCTTCTTCTAACTACTCAAAATTTCCTTGCATTTTCTTCACCTCCTTAAAGGAAAAGGTCCAGACTTTTTCCCACTTGAACTTCTCTTCCAACCACTCCTCTAACTCTTTTCTGTCAACTTGAAAAACTCCATTTACCGGGACAACACCTCCCTCTTCTTGGTTTGACTTCATCTTCCTTTCTGACTCGGATTGTTTAGTACCATTGCACTCCCCAACAGATGCCTTCATTGAAATCTATATCTAAAGCCAAATCAATCATTGGGCCCTCAGATGTAGAAATCACTCTCCTAATTACCTGATGTGTCTCACTAGCACCACCTGATGACAAACAACCAGTGCTTTCACATGCTGAATATTGGTACAAGTCAAAATTTTATTTAAGGAAGCAACCCAATTAACATGGAATAAATTTGATTGTCAATTGTTAATCAAGTTGTAGAGAATTAAGTGACCTACTAAAGTTTGCTAATTTCTGGGTTGCTTTATCATTTGACAAATGCCTTTGCTACTTTGTGATGCAAAAACTAAATAGTGTCCCAATTACTAATGTAAAATGTAAATGATGAGTAGGTGTAATACCTTTTTCTTTTAACTTTTTTTTTTCCTGGTGAATGGTGATTTTTTTTTTTATTTTTTAATTTTGGATAGATGAATGGTGATTTTTTATTGCTCTAACAGCATGGATATTTGATGTTTATGAGTGATGTTTCTTTGCATAATTTCATAGAAATAAAAAGCAAGTGAGCCAAGATTGGTATTGCTTTGCATTGTTTTACACTAGAAGGTAGAAACGACCCTATGATTTGGGCCTGGTTTATGGTGGTATCAAATAATCAAAGTTTCCAAGATTTTGAGTATGCCAACTTTATTTTACTATTAAAATTAACAAACATTAAAGTAGCTAGTCTAATACTAATACAAACATTAAAACGGTGGTGAGTGAAAAATACAAGAAAAGAGGGGGGAAAGGGAAGAGAGAGAAAATTGGTTAGACCCCCAAAGGGGTTGCACTACGTACCCTCCAATGAGGGATCAGGCCACTGTAGCTCTCCAGTGATTGAATTCCAGAAGAGAGTGAAAATCGGTGGAGAGGCGTGGTTCACATGTTGGTGGAAGGGAGAGAGAATTTGGGTTTGGGGGTGGGCAGAGTTCATGTCCCCATTGAAAATGGGGCTATATATAATTCCTTTTTTTACGTTTCTTATTAATGAACTTTAACTTTCTAAAATTTTAAGAATTATGCCAAGTTAGCATAAGTGGCTAGCTATCTACGTCAGTCACCAGTCAAGGATTGACTTGGTTTGCTATCCTGGGCAGGATCGGCCTAGCTCGGTTCGGGTTCAAGTCAGGTCAACTAGGTCTATGGTCTTTTGTAAATCTATAATCTTACACCAGCATCAATAAAAAAACAATTTTTATTTATGACACCTATTTTTCTTTAATATGGTTAATATAAATTATTAGAGATTTGCCCAAATTATCTACAATTTTTGTATTTATTTCTATTTTAAAATTTTATTATTTAGTTATGAAATCATGGGTTCACCCATTTGACCTGGATGGTTGAATTGCTTAGCTCCCACCAGGATGGAAGAATTGTTTTGTTATTGGGTAAGTTTTAAAAGAACATGGGTTTTATATTGTTAAAAGGTATTGAATAAATATAGGATTTAAAAAAATACCTAAAATATAGGATTCAATGAGTGAGAATGGGAGTTAATACCTTAAATGTAAGATTTAATGAGAAGGAATTGAGTGAGGTTAAAAGTAGTTCAAATTACATTTTCTGCCTTCACAATTAGAGGGACCACTATGGATTAGAAAAGGATAAAAAAAATTAGAGAGGGACCAAACTCAAAAATATAAGGGTGTTTTAATCAATAATAGGATTCAATAAAAGATTATGGGAGTTAATACCTTAAATACTTAATAAGAGGGAATTAAATGAGGTGAAAGTACTAGAAATTAATGGCAGCAAAATATGGTACAGAGAATGGTGGCTGGATAATGAGGTCTGACCCATCCCCTCTGGGCTGTTCCATTTGGAAGAAAATCATGGAGGTGGCTCCACTTTTTATGGGAAGGTATCTCCTTCACGGTGGGCTTGGGTCATAAACTGAAATTCTGGAAAGACAGCTGGTGTGGGAGCAGGCCCTTTACAGAGTTCTTTCCTCAGCTGTTTCAGCTAGCTGAAAATCAGGAGGTGTTGGTGGTGGATTGTTATGAACCGAGAGACAATTTCCTTTCCTGGAACCCCTACTTCAGAAGACATTTCCACGATTGGGAACTTGACCAAGTGATAGAATTATTTCAGCTGCTAGTCATTCAATCTTTAAACCAAGGAGAAGAAGACACGCGGATTTGGAGATGGTCAAAGGATGGCTTGTTCTCAGTCAGTTCCTTTTCTAGAAGCTTAGTTGAAGGCAACAGAGCTGAGGTCCCTGCTGAAAAAATTTGGAATTCAATTCCCCCTCTAAAGTGAATGCTCTGTTGTGGGCTATAGTGCTGGATAAAAGTCTCTCAAAACAGAACCTGGTAAGAAGAGGACAACATTCACTTATTCCTCCACTGCCCAGTTGCTGCGGAATTGTATTATGGTGCTGGGAGATTCAAGGCCTGTCAAGATTGGCAAAAGATGTTTGGAAGACAATCCCGGCTGCTATAATAAATGCCATATGGGAGGAAAGAAATAAGAGACTTTCAAAACTGCTCCAAGGAAGCCAATAGTTTAATCTCCATCTCCTATGGGGGGCTAGTCTCCTGGACAGCTGCTGTAAAAGGTCTCCAAAGTAGGGTGCTTGGGTTGCAACTGGGATCTTGTAGTTTATTTGAGTTGTAATTATGTACCTAGGCCCCTGGTCCGGGTCTGCTGCTCCTGAAAAGGGTGCTTTGTAATCTTTGTCTCTTAATAAAAATTATATTACCTTTTTCGGAAAAAAGTACTAGAAATCACATTTTCTGCCTTGACAAGTAGAAGGACCAAATTCAAAAAAGTACTCTCATTCTTACTTTTAATAGTAGTATAGATGTAGATAGGGTTCTGTACATGTTGGGTATCAACCTGATCCCAACCTAACTTGACTAAATATTCCAAGTCTGTCCTGCCCCATGAATAGGGTGGGCTGGGTGATTCAGGGCATGGAGCCAAAATGAGATAAATTGTGAAAATTATTAATAAACAAATGAGCAAATAAAAAATAAAAGAAGAAAAATGTAAGAACACTTGAAATTCACATATAAAACACTTTAGATCTATGATATAGCAATGCAAAGTTTACACACCATTATCTGAATCTGATCGGGTTGTAACCAGTTGACAAGTCACAACCCAAATTCAACCTTAACCTGACTAAGGACATACCAAATTCGTCCCAATAGAGGTGGGAGTGGGTGGATTACCCAATTGACCCACACAATTCACATCCCTATCAACATATAACAGAATCAGATCCATATGGGTCAACTTCTGTTGATCATGAGGTGCTTACTAGTGTAAGGTTGGTTAGAGCTTAACATTCAATAGTTAAGTGAGGCACAAGGATCTTCTGATGTTTAATGTGTAAACCTCAAGGTATGATCCTTTAAGGCTTTAACCTTATGAAATCTCATTCTTTTAAGAAAACGCTTCAAAAAAAAAATCTCTCTCCAAACAGGTGTATCTTGTGCAATTTAGACAGTGAATCTGCCTTTCCTATTTTCATTTCTTGCCCCTTTGCAGGTTATATTTGGGATAGAATTTTTGCTCTTACTACTCCAAGAAGTTTGGATAGGGATCCATCTACCTTTAAGTGGCCAAGAAAAAGGGGGAGGATGATGCGGACGTGCACAAGGGCTGCTGTATTATGGATGATTTGGGAAGAAAGAAACCTCAGAATATTCAAAGATAAGGAAAGAAGTGTAGAGTTTATGCTTGACTGTGTGCTGGTGAAACCTCAGAATGTTATGGATGATCCATCTACCTTGTGCTTGTTCTCTGAATTTACTGTTGATGATTTACTCAAAAACTGGAGGGTGCTTGCAGGATCCTCCTCCAAGAAAAAAAAAAGTCAAAAACTTCTGCAACAGTGGGATCCACCAACACCTGATTTCCTCAAGCTGAATGTTGACAGAAGCAGTGTTGGTAATCCAGGCCCTTCTAGAATAGGAGTGTTAAGAAATGATAAGGGAGAAATCTTGGGGTGGTTCTTGGGACCATTTGGGGAAGGGAATTCCATAAGAGCTGAGTTGGAAGCAGTTTTGCATGACTTACAAAAAGCAATGGAGTTAGGCATTCAGAAATTGATAGTTGAAGGGGACTCTAAAGTGATCCTAAGCTGGTTGAGAGGAGAGGAAAAGAGTCCTTGGTGGTTCAGAAATGAGATAGCTGAGTTGGAGGCAGTTTTGCATGACTTACAAAAAGCAATGGAGTTAGACATTCAGAAATTGATAGTTGAAGGGGACTGACTCTAAAGTGATCCTAAGCTGGTTGAGAGGAGAGGAAAATAGTCCTTGGTGGTTCAGAAATGAGAAAAAAATTCAGAAGTCTGTCAAAAGATATGCAAATATCAATCTGGTGGGTTCCAAGGTCGGCAAACAATTTAGCAGATCAATTAGCAAAGCAAGGGGTTAGAAGAGAACAGACTTTTTGGGCATGGTTGTAATTCTAAATAGAAAAACTCTGGGTTTGACTTTCTGTTTATCTCTTGTTATTGTTACAAGGGTAGCCGAGGCTGCTCTCCATTGTAAATTTATTTCTTCTATATCAATAAAGCTCTCTGTTTTTACTGATAAAAAAAGTGAGAAAAAAATATAGAATATAGGTTCAATATAATACTGGAAAGATATGTTACCAGAAACATTAATAACCAATCAATCGGTATCATAAAAGTGGTAACCAATTGGGCGAGAAAAAAAGTGAGGAATTGAGTGATTGTGGGCCATATGCACTTTTGTGGCTGGTGTGGAGCAAAATGATTGGTCCTACATCTGGAGCAAAATAATTTTTCTCTCTACGGTATCATAGATTTTCCCATGGGAATATGCACAAAATCATAAGGGACTATAACCATATTTTTATGTAATGAACATAGATGAATTAAAAGAAAAACTTATAAGAACATATACATAAAAGGACATTGTTTTTATCTAATTAACTAACCATCATATACATAATAGGACTATGTTCTTATAAATACTTCAAGACTATTAAAAAGTTCCTAATGCAAATCTAAAGTTAAAATACGTCTTAAAACCCCATATATTTAAAAAAAAAATCAGAGACATGCACAGAAAAATTTAACCCTACATGAATTGATGTGCATAATGCATCATATGTTTTTGATACGAGGCATCTCAGTATTTGAGGCATGTGCTTTATGCTTTTAGGTGTGAATTTCTTGCTTGTGCACTTTGTATATTACCAATACCAAACCTGCAGAAAGAATAAATGTAGTGCCTCGTGATTGAACTGCTTTTGACATTGCCTTCTGTACATTTTTCTAAAATGTTGGAGGTGTGATGCTGGGCGTTCCACCATGTTGAGGTGTGATGATTGTAAGCCAGATTGCAAGAGACATAAGCCTCTTGAGTAAATATTTCTAATTAATGAATAATCCAAAATAATATAAAGATAAGGGTAAATTTCAAGGAATCTCCTTTTACTTTGGAGGGTTTATCACTTAACCCCCTGTACATTTTTTGTGACTCTTAGCCCCTTGTACTTTCATATAATATCAAACCACCTGATGGTGTTAACAGCGAGTAAATACCTAATTGCCAAAATGCCAATATGACATTTTTATGCTTTTAAAGCAAAAATCTAGACTAGGTGATGTCTGGTTTTGGTTAATAGAAGAGGACATGCATTGACACAACTTAGATGGCTTAGATCCATTGGTTCATTTATGGATACCATTTTGACAAACCAGACTTTTTATTTAATTTGGTACATCACTTGGATAAGCAAGATCAATCCACTGCTCTGGGAGACTGCTTTGATGATCTTTTTTGGATTGATTCGGTACACTATTCTATGCGAGAGTGTAGCCTGCCTAAGGTTATGATATTAGTGTAACCAAAGTGAACATTTTTTCATAGACTATGCCACTAGAAGCAAGTTATTGTGCCGATTTTCTTGAGTATTAAATAGTGGCAAGATGTTACATATGTTATAGTCTTGACAGTTTTGTTCTTCTTAACATGGAAGTTATAATAAGACAAGATTTATCAGATTCTCGTTACGTCTTCTTCTGCAGTGGACGTGCCAAGATCGATGACTTTTTGAGGGTTATGAAATTGAAAGCAAGTCCTCTTTCTGAGAAGGTTAGTTGCAAAATTGTCTATAATCTTTTGGTATTCCAGTTTCTTGGACATAAATAATTTATTTTTCCTCTTTTCCTTTTCCCCATTTGAACCTTACAATCTTTCATTGTTTTAATTCTCTCCATAGCTACTTGATATTTCATTTGTTAGTTATCTTGTTAATTTTCATTTATTACCCATGCAGATCTTCAGGTTCATAGATGTTGAGAAGTGCGGATCAGTTACATTTAGACAGGTAACTGACTGATTTATTATGCACTCACTAATTACCATTACTTGTTGAAATTCATAGAAGATATAGAAATGAATGTTCTCTGATTTGGCTATGCAGAGTTTTGTATTAGCTGTTGAATTGTTAGGCAAGTGCAGCTCATGGACATAGCATGCTTTTTCTTGATACATGTAATTTGCATGTTTGATAACAAATTGTCTGCCCAAATCAATGCCATTTTTTATAGAAAAAATGGTACTGCTAATATTATTTAGGCAGTTACTGTGACATTTCACCCTAGTCACTCTACCTCCCCTGTTTTTTTCTTTTTTTTTTCTTATTTATTTATATTATGTACTGAGGTTGTTTAACACTGAATATCTGGTTACACTTTCGTTATTGATGACCAGCATGAGAGTACTTTCTAGTTTCAAAAACTGGATGGGACATTGAACTCCAAAGAACCCCATCCAGTTTTTCCTGGTTTCACAGGATGGTTTAATGTCTCACCACTAAAACAACCAAGTGGAACCTAGTTTTTGTTTGGTCCATGGTTTCCCCATTTCAACTAGCTGGTTAGGCCCTTTTCATTTCCAATCAAGGCTTGCAATTTTGATCTGGAATTGATTGTGCATGTTAGTCAATAAAATATCTAGGTCTTTGGGAGGAAATCCAAGAATGGGCAACTTTTGGAATAGAGGTTTCTTGCTAGAAGTGTTGAGGAATAGAGGTTTTGGGGAGAGATGGTGTAAGTGGATGAAGGGTTGTATTACCTTTTGTCACTTCTTAATCTTAGTGAATGGAGTAGCTAGGGACTTCTTTTCTACAAAGAGGGGCCTTAGACAAGGAGACCCTTTGCCACCTTTCCTCTTCACCTTAGTAGTGGATGTCCTAAGTGTCTTGATTTCTAGGGCTGATTCAAGAAATCTACTGAAATGATGGAGTTTTGGAAGGCAACAAGTGATTGTCACTCACCTACAATTTGCGGATGATATCATTTTCTTTTGTGAAGGGGAAATTGAGGAGATGGATAATTTGAGATTGGTGGTGATGCATTTTGAGAGAGTCTCTAATCTTAAAATCAATTGGAACAAGAGTTGTGTAGCAGGGGTGAATTTATGGGATGATGAAGTGCAGTTGGTGGCTAGGGCTTTAGGTTGTGAGGAAAGTGGTTGGCCTCTAGTATATTTGGGTCTGTCCCTAGGGGGAAATCCTAGAACAGAAAATTTTTGGTACCCAGTTTTAGAAAGATTCATTAAGAAGCTAGCAAGGTGGAAGAGAAATTATTCTCACTAGGGGGTAGAATCACTTTAATCAAGTCCACTTTGGCCAACCTTCTGGTGTATTTTTTTTCTACCTTCAAGCTTCCTGCCAAGGTTGCCAATAAGTTAGAAAAGCTCATGAGAGATTTTCTATGGGAGCCGGGTGACTCAAAAAAGGACCATTTAGTGAAGTGGGAAGTAGTTTCTAGGAAAAAGGAAGCAGGAGGTCTAGGCATTGGCAATATTAGATTATGAAATGTAGCTTTGTTAGGAAAGTGGTGGTGGAAAGTATTCATGGGATGGCAACTAATGGATGGGATGTTGGCGTCAACCCTAGGGCTTTTCATTTCTCCCCTTGGAAAGCAATTGCTGGAGTCTCGTCTTCCTTTTAGCCTTTCATCAGATTTGATGTGTGTTCAAGTAATAAAATTTTGTTTTGGGAGGACCTTTGGCTTGGGAACACCCCCCTTAAGGATAGATTCCCGGTAATGTATTCTCTTTCCCTAAATAAATTCAAAACCATCTCCTCACTTTGTGTTTGAGGGGACTTGGGATTTGGGTTTGAGAAGAGGGTTGAGGGATTCAAAATTGGCTTCTGCAGATGAGTTATTCACTGTGTTGAATTCAGTTTTTCTAGATCTTTCCTACCCAGATAGTAGAATTTGGAAAGAGTCATCTTCGGGGACTTTCTCTTGTTCATCTTTCTTCAATGCCTTAGTCCAATCTTCTTTTGTGTCTGTTTCTTTCCTGCTAAAGAAATCTGGTATTCTCCTGTGCTGCCAAAAGTTAGGGCTTTTTGCTGGGAAGTGGCTCTTCAAAAGATCAATGCTATGGATGTACTTCAAAGAAAAAGGCCAAACTACAGCCTTTCCCCACATGCCTATTACCTTTGCTTAAGAAATGGTGAGACGGCACTCATCTTTTGATTTCTTGTCCTTTTGCTTATTATTTGTGGAATTGGTTCTCTTCTTTGCTTGGTTACAGATGGAAGCCCCCCTCAGGTGTGCTGAACCTTTTTGACTCTAGCTTCTTCCGACAACCAAGGAAAAGGGGCAGGGTAATGTGGTGAATAACAAGAGCTGCCATCCTATGGTCAATTTGGGAAGAGAGAAACAATAGGATCTTCCTAGGGCAAGAAAAAATCCAAGGAAGCACTTGTGGAGGTTGTCACCATCAAGGTTATGCACTGGTTGAAAGTACATCATATCTTCAAGGATTTCTCCTCAGTGGATTTAATTAGAAATTGGAGTGTTATAGCTATATCCTTGCCTTCCTCCCTTGTGGTACAAGATTGTTGGGTACCACCGTCTTAGTTCAAGGTGAAGCTAAACTTTGATGGGAGCTCCTTGGGTAATCCAGGTCCATCAGGAGTTGGGGGTGTGTACAGAAATGAGGAAGGAAAAGTCTTGGCCCTTTACTTGGGTCCAATTGGGGTGGGAGATTCATTAAGGGCAGAAGTAATGGCCTTACTTCAAGGTTTGAAATTGGCGAAACAATGGGGTATGCAGCAATTAGAAGTGGAAGGAGACTCCAACTCCAAGCTGGTAATAGGGTGGATGCAAACTGGAAACCTAGGAGTGTGGTCTCTTAGACAGCCTCTAAGAGAGATTATTAGCTTAGCAAGGGAGGTTGGGGTGCACTTTAATTGGGTAAGAAGGTCAGCAAATGGAATGGCTGACACTTTAGCTAAGCAAGGAGTTACTAGGGAGGCTTTGTTTTGGGCTTGTTTGTAAGTTTTTGATTTTCTTTTTCCATCCTTTTTGTGGGTGGTAAGCCTGTAATCTTTTTAATTATCTAATGAAAGTTATCGTTTCCTGTAAAAAAAAAAATCCAAAACATTGTCCACTTGGAAAAGGAGCTATATATTGTTGGGAGGTAGGATAATGCTAATCAAGTCCACTTTAGCTGATTTAGCAGATTCTCTTTGTCTTCACAATTTCTATGTTGGTTGAAAAAAGATTAGGGAAGATCATGAGAGATTTTTTGTAGGAGCCAGGTGAGACAAAGAGAGATCACTTGGTGGAGTTGGGAGATGGTTTGCAAGAGAAAGGAACAAGGGGTGCAATTGGAGAAGTTGAGGGYTAGGAATTCAACCCCAATTAGAAAATAGCCTTGGAGAGTTCCATTAAACTCAACAAACTGTGGCAAAATGGTGGCTAATATTCATGAGATGCTAGATTTGTTAGTAGAAACATTACCGTTAGTGTACATTTAGATCACTTGGTGGAGTTGGGAGATGGTTTGCAAGAGAAAGGAACATGGGGTGCAATTGGAGAAGTTGAGGGYTAGGAATTCAACCCCAATTAGAAAATAGCCTTGGAGAGTTCCATTAAACTCAACAAACTGTGGCAAAATGGTGGCTAATATTCATGAGATGCTAGATTTGTTAGTAGAAACATTACCGTTAGTGTACTTTTGGTATTTTTGAACTTTATTAGGTATGATGTGTGATCATGGAATTAAACAAGATTTTATGGGAAGACTTATGGTTGTGGGTGAGGGGAAGTTCTTTAAAAGATTGCTTTCTGACTCTTTCTCTATCTCCCCTAAGTCCAAATTTATATCTTTAATTTCCTTTACATTTGAATTTGGAACTGCTTGAGATTTTGGCTTTAGGAGAGATTTGGCAGATTTTGAAACCTTTAAAGCCCTGGATTTGTTAGATGCTCTAGAGGAGATTCGAAATTGCAGTTTATCTGCACGTGTTTTCTCTGTAAGGTGAGTGGAAGACTGCTTACCTACTATCTTCCTGCTCATTTGTCTCAAGTATTTGAAAGTGGTTCTTTCAGTTGGCCATTTCTTGGTGTAATGGTAAAATCTCAGGTGGATTAGTGTGAGAACATGGGTTCAAGTTTGAGAATAGCCACTTTGTGCATAAAAGGCCAAAAGGTTAGGTCCATACCTAGTCTACCTCTCCCAGATAGCTTGGACCAACATTGTGTAATGGCCTTTTTTATTTGGAAATGGTTCTTTTCTCTATTTGGTTGCAGGTACGCTTTTCCATTGGATGTGCAAGTTTCTTTAAACCTCTTACATATTACCAAGGAAGAGAGGGAAAAACTTGTGGAGATGCACAAGAGCATCAACAGTATGAACAATATGGGAAGAAAGGTTTGAGAGGGTCTTCAAAATTCAAAGTACACAGCAATGAAACAATCAACTAAATTCATTTCAATGAAGGGGCGTTCTACAATGTGATTTTTTTTCTGAAGAGTGAAAATTTGTTTTTGTTTTCAAAAACACAATTTGTTTTGTAAACAAAACTCGACAGTTCTTTTTTCTTTTGGTTTTCCTTATCTGTCAAGTGTCAACATAAGAAAAGTTGCTTTCTTTTAGTTTCTCATCTTATCTCCCACTTTCTTTGGAAGTTGCAACCAAATGCAATGTCAGGGAAATTAGTTACATGTTTTGGACCATGCCAACCTCTAGGCGGAAAAGTAGAATAAATATTTCTGCTAAGGTTGGGTCAAGACATGATAAGCTATGAGATGTTGGTCTAGCTGATATATTTTGTTAAAAGCAATCCATTACTTATGCTAATTTTTCTACAGTTTAGAAAGTTTCCAATAGAGGGGGCAACAAGGGTGCAGGATAAATAAATAAATAATAGCAGATAGAATTCTTTGCCTTTCAATATAAAAGCAAGAAAGGGGATTCTTTCTTACCTCAGGGCACTGAGAAATCTAAAGGGAATGGAGGAGGTTGTAAATTTGACAACAGAAAGGAATTGCTCAGCAAGCCAGCAAGCCGCTCTCTGGAAGGCAAGTGGCAGACATGAGGTGGATGGTGATCTTTCGATACTAGATTCAGTGTGCTAAAACAATTTGGAAAACAGAGTCTTAGCTATGGCTATCAGCTTAATTAGGGATTTTAATACCAGTAACAACCGAATAGTTGGATTACTGAGAGTGAGGAACATGTATTTGCAAGCAATATTGTGTTGGATCATCTTGAATACTGTTTAGCATCTTACTAAGCAGAGTTTGTTTTTTTTTTTTTTTATCAGTAAAACAGAAGAATCTTTTATTGACATAAAAAAGAATTTACATTTGTGAGCAGCCTTGGCTACCCTTGTAACAACAAGAAATTGAACGTGTTGTTTGGTCCAATAAATTATTTTATAAATTGGAAGTTTATTTCATGCAGTTGTCCAGAGTACCGATTACAGATTAAAAATAAAGAGCAAATATGATTCTTTTGGACCTTCCAGATTGTACTTCTTGCAATTTCATTATTTTAGCAGATACATTCTTTAACAGTCATAACTGTATCACGGAACATGCAGTTCTTCTTTGGATCAGCTTACATCCTTAAGCAGCCATTTTTCTGGCAAGCCTGTGAGTTAGCCTTCACAGAATGTGATTCTGGAGGATATGGTTATATCTTGAAACAGCAGGTATTTGTTAAATTATTGTGCCCCTCGATACTTTTCTATTTAGACTGTTGTTAAACCTGAAGTTATCAAATGAATGTACATAATGATGCTTAATCACATTGAAACAGTTGGGAGATCTTCTTACGGAGGCAATGCCAAACATATGTGAAGAGGAGGTAAGAAAACAAAACCTGCCATTTGGACAATTTATAACATGTATTATTTCAACCAATCATCATTTATTGGCATAGTTGTGTTCTTTTACTTTTAACAGGTCAGTCAGCTATTGCAGTTATTTGATTTAGATGGTGATGGAAGGATCAGCAGGAATGATTTCATGGCTTGCCTAAGAAGTAATCCATTGCTAATAGCACTTTTCTCCCATATTTTGGTACGCAAGGATTTAATAGCGGATGGTGGCAGGCTAGAAGAGGTTGTCTGATGCTCAGCTTGATGCAATTGCTGCATTACTGCCCTGCCTCCTTGTTTTCTTGTATTTGTTTGCCGACTTGGGGTGGGGGAATTGTGGGGGTGAAGAGTTGGCTCCATAGAGTTTTTCTTGCTATGGTAGCTTCTCTAATATACAACAATGTAAAATGCTTCTTGAATTAGTTTCGGTAAAGTAAACATCGCTTTGAATGTGTATTTTCTATTTACAGCAAAAAAAAAGAGTATCAGATAATTGAGAAAAAACGTTAACTTATGCCATACAAATCGGATGATAAAAGATTACAACATTTACAGTAGTAATATTATCTTCACATCACAGTACATTTTTCTTTTGACTTGGCGTCCTGTTTGGAAGAGGGATTACCACTGGTCCTTGGCGCCTGCAGCAATTCATATTATTACAATGTCACAAATTGGTTATTATTATAGAATATAACCTGTGCAAACTGAAGATAATGTAGTGATTTATACGATGGTGAATGTACATGTCAAGTGCTTTGACAAAATGCACACCATGTTACCTACCTTGGTGAATGTCATCTCCTTTGACAGATTGCCCAGCAAAGCACAGAGTGCGATGAAATTTGTACAGAGGTCGAATGACTAAAACGTATGGTACATGACTAAAACGTATCCGTGAGGCTTTTAAGTTCGGGGCTTAACAGCTTGAGATGTTGGGGCCTAGGGGTGAACGTGAACACTTCCTGTTTATTAATTGTGCAAAAGGGAGGTATCTAGCAGAAATAAAAAAAAATACATTTGTCATTCTTTTTGGGCTAAAAAGGATGCTTAACGTCTAATAATGTGCTAACTCTTGCCAACTGATTCTGTGTTTTCTCTTCCTTTATCTACCTTTCTTTCAAACCAAATACAGCCTAGAGTCTTCTGGGATTTTTTTCTTCTCTAGCTATCACGAAAAAAAAGTCTTCTGGCTTTGAACCTTGTCAATCTATAATACCCGCTCAAAATTCAGTGAAAAAAACAACGTTGAATAACTTCCACCAACTTATGGTGGTTCAGTTTGCAAGTTCTTTGGCTAGTTAAAGTGGAGACTGGGATCAAATACCATTGCCACCAGGATAGGGGGTTTTATGGATATGGGGATGGGCTACCCCCGTTGTGAAGAACTCTGAAGATCTTATTTATCTCAGATATCATAAAACTTATCAATGATAGAAAAAACTGAGAAGAGCATAATATACATTTATTGCTTGTCCCCCCAAGAAGCATATCAACAGCCTAACGAATAGCACCATGGTATAAAGCACATGTTCAGGCATGCCATTAAAAAATTTATTGATTTGAACCGAGATAAGTTTTTAACTAGTTGGTACGCCACCTACTAGATATTTAACTTTTTATGGGCTATCATGAGACGACAATAATCTCTATCAAATGGCTAAATTTTTGCAGACAGAATTAACTTTTATTCGATATATTCATGTTTTGGCTAGAAAAAGTTCAACATCATGACTTAAAGTTGACAAATTAAATCATGAAAAATATTTGGCACCTTTGTGGGTAGAGGCATCCAAGGCATGCTGAAAGTGGTTGTGAGGGCTTTTGGAATTAGATAACGAGTATAGTTAAATGTTCTAACTCTTGTTAGGTATTAAGATAACCATATAGTGACGGAATGATATGCACATCCTAGATGGCAAAAATAAGATGAATTTCATTTCTAGGCTAGTGATAGATGGGAGGTAAACAAAAGAACTGGGGGAGGTCATAGAAACACTGGTTGACCATTTCAAAACCCCCCTGGTCATCGACCTCCAGTAAGGTGACATGTTGAAGGACTTCACTGGCCTCCAGTAAGGTGACATGTTATTTGGATTTAGACAAATAACAGACCAAATTTTGATTGCAAATCTTCAGGATTTAAAGAAAATACGAGGGAAAGGGTGGATTCATAAATTTGGTTTGGAAAAGGCTTAAGATATGGTAGATTGTACTTTTCTTAGTTGGTTCTTTTCATGTATGGATTTGGGACCTTATGGAGAAAATGGGTTACACGATGCTTAAAATCGTGTCAGCACTCAATCCGAATGAATAGGTCAGCAGAAGACTTTTTCCCATGGTGTTTCTTAGGTAGAGGATCCCCTATTTCCTTTCTTCTTTACTTTTGATAACTATGTCCTTAGTTGCCTCATTGCTAGATCAAACAATTGTGGTCTTATTAGGGGTTTTAGAGTGGAAGGTGAGGAGTAGTAATTTCACACTCGTAATTTTTTTTTTTTTTGATCAGTAACAGAAAAGATTTCATTAAACATGAAGATAATTACAGTGAAACACCACAGAAAGAGATAAACTCTCTTAGCTCTCCCTGAGGAGAAAGAAAATACAAGTTACATAACAGCCCAAAAAAGGTGCCTTTCCACCATCCCAACTCCTCCTTTTGCAGCCAACTAATTACCAACTTTGAATCCCCTTCACTGATCAATTTTCTGATGTTCAACTCTTTTGCTATTCAAACTCCCTCCATCACAGTGGGCCAGAGTATAGAACCATAACTCTTCCCTCCTCATTCCGAAAAACACCCCCTATGCCTGATGGGCCTGGGTTTCCTTCACTACTTCCATCAAAGTTCAGCTTAATAAATCCAGAAGTAGGAGGAAACTAAATCTGTTTGATAACAGTCTTGGATAAAGATGAGTTAGCCACCTCCTTTCATTTCCTAAACAGTGCATTTAAGGGATTGTCGTCAAAGCTGCTCAAAAATTTCACCCAATGTGCCACTCTTATGGTGATAGTATCAATGGGAGCTTCTTTACACCTCTCCTTATCCGAGAATATTCTTTAGTTTCACACTTGTAACTTGCAGATTAAATAGTTATCATTTGTGAGGACAGAGGTGGGGGTGCCCAAAACCTTCACCAACTAGTGTGCTAGAGTAGTTCTCCAACCTAAAGTTTAATTACTTGGTGCAAACTAATTTGGACAGTGGGGTAAACATTATTAAGTTGCCTAGTGATGTATTGGTCATTGACCTATCTTGGATTACTGTTAGGCCATTACTAAGTATTCTTTTGGGGTTAAGAGTTAGGCTTTGAATAGTCACCCGGCTGAGGGTTAATTGTTCAAATAGTAGTATAGTGCAAATCTGCCCATCTACTTCCTCTCAGTGTTCATTCCTGCTAAAATCAGAATACAGATTGAGAAACTTCAAAGGGACTTCCTCTGGGAAGGTGGAGGGGAGAAAAAAAATCATCTAGTGAGTTGGGATCAGGTCTATAAGTCTAAAGAGGCTGGAGGGCTGGAGATTTGACACTTGAAAGAGAAGCACTTCTCTCCTTGGGAAATGGCTGTGGAGATTCCCTACTGAAACAAATACTCTTTGGGCAGCTGTCATCACCAGCAAGTATAGGTTGAACACAAAACGGTTGGGACTGCAACCTTCATTCAAACCGTGTAGCTTCCTCAAGCCCTTGGAAAGGTATCATCTCTACTACAATAGTTTCTTTCCATTCATAAGAAGATTTGAAGTGGGCAATGGAACTAGAATAAAATTCTGGACTGACCTGTGGTGGGGTAATGCTACTCTAGCAGATTCTTACCCTAGACTCTTTAATCTCACCCTTAACAAAGAAGCAACCATCTCTCAGTGCCTCCTCCCCTCTTCCCCCACTGAGAGAAACATAAACTTGAGTCTTAGAAGACCCTTAAGGGATTCGGAGATCAGTGAGTTAACTGAACTCCTTTCTCTCAGAGAAGCCTACATCTCCCCAAACTCCCTAGACTCCCATGCTATTAAACCCCACCTTGTTGGCGAGTTCTCTTCCAAATCTTTCTTCAAGGCTCTGGTTGCAGGAGAGCAGGACTTTTATTTCCCTTTCAAGAAGGTCTGGTGCAACTATATCCCCTCTAGAGTGTGTTTCTTCATCTGGGAGGCTTGTCTGCATCGAAGAAACACTTGTGAGCTGCTGCAAAAGAAGAATCTTGGCAGACTTTATATCTCCCCTCATGCCTGCATCCTCTGCCTTCGAGAAGGGGAGTAAACTGATCATCTTTTCATCCACTGCCAGGAAACCAGGTACATTTGGAATCACTTTTACAGCTAGCCGGGTATAACTGGGTTGCTCCAAATCACCTCCAGGAATTGCTCCATCAGTGGCAAGGAAAAGGATTGAGTAGGAGAGGTAAGGTGTATTGGCAAATAGTGCAGCATGCTGTGCTTTGGGGAGTTTGGGAAGAAAGAAATAACCGTCAGTTTGAGAATAAGGCAAAATCAAAGAGTGATCTGATCTCTCACATCAACTACCTCTGTAGTTTGTGGGCTTCCAGCTCAGATAAGTTAAAAGGAATCTCTGTAAACGACCTTAATAGGAATGCTGGTAATTTCCTGTTCTCCTCCCCTCCCTCCCCACCCATCTCCAAGGGTCCATTCCTCAGAAGGGAAGAAATTTGGACTCTAAGCTTTGATGGATGTACAGTGGGCTGATTGGCATAGCTGATTCTACCAAGGCAGAGTTGATGGCTGCACTTACAGGGATCCGATTCATCAACAAACTAGGCATTCAGAACCTCTCCATAGAAGGCAACTCAGAAAACACCATAGAATGGTTAGGAAAGCAGGAGGCCGGGCCATGGAGACTCAGCCACTTTCTGGCAGAGGCAAGGGATTTATTGGCTGCTTCAAATGCAAATCTGTTCTGGATTCCAAGGGAATTTAATGCTCTTGCAGATGGGTTAGCAAAACTAGGTGCTCTTTCAAAGGATTTGTACTGTGATAAAATTTCTCCTGTGTAATTTTTAGGGGTCTGATCCCTGTTTTGTTCTTGTTTTGTACACCTCCTTGTGTACCCCTCTCTTTTCTTAAAGAATTCAGTTAAACTTTTCTCAAAAAAAAAAAAAAAGAGTAGGGTTTTGGAAGGATCTTTGGTGGGTTGAGAGATTGGGGATCAGATGTCTATTTCCTTTTTGAGCTTCAATCTTAAATAATGGGATTTCTTGGGACCTTGGTCTTAGAAGTGGGTTGAGGGATTGGGGATCAGAAGTCATTCTTGACCCATCTACTCCCAATCAAAGAGTGTGGTCTCCTAACCCAAATGGACTGTTTCCTTATGCCTCCTTCAAAGTCCTTGCCACTCTAGAGTTGGGTTTCCAATCAAAGCCATTTGACCATGTCCAGTTTCTCCTAGAATCAAAGCTTTTTAGTTGGGATCTCATACAACTGAAAAATCAATATATGTGATGTCCTCCAACTCCAAAGGTCTTGTAGTCGCTTATCACCAAACATTTCTCTTATGTTGAGCAAGTGGTGAAATTATTCCCCATTTACTAATCTCCTCCTCATACACTTCCAGCATATAGGATTATGTCTCTTCTCTCTGGTTGCAGATAGTGCCCTCTGACAATGTGGGAAGCCTATTTGAGTACTTCTTTTGCCATTCAGAAAGGAGATGGAAGATATAAAGTGTATCAAAATGAATGTGGTATGGGATGTATGGGAATAAAGGAACAGGAGGGTATTCAAGGAAAAATTTCATAACAAGGAAACTGTGATGGAAAACATTGTGGTAGGGGTGGCCAATTGGGTATAGGACTGCAACTTGGACCAGGTTAGCCCAAACTCAGTCCAAAAAATTAGGGTTTCATTGGGTTGGGTTGAAAGTATAAACCCAACTTAAACTTTGGTTGGGTTAGGGTTGAGGCCTTGACCAACCCAACCCAACCCAACCCAACCCAACCCAGACCCGACTCAATTTCATATTTTTTTACAGTAGGTTGGCAGGTCTGCAAATGCTATGGCAGATTATCTTGCTAAACAAGGGGTTTTGAGGGAGCATTTGTACTGGGCTACCTTGTAATCTGTATCTATAGTGCTATGTGGTTTTCACTTTTTAAGGGAGGTCACACCTCGTGCCTCTCAGTGGGATGCTTGTAACAGTTATCATATTTTCTTAATAAAATTCCTCTTCAATTATCAAAAAAAAAAAAAGATCCTTGACTGTATCTTTTCTTTATATCTATTTAACAAAATATTGCTGATCTATTACTGATAAAAGAATAACAATAATCATTATCTTTGTGTTTCATTCTTTGATACCTTCCCYTGTATTATTACCTTCTTAATTTCTTTTATATTTATTTCCTCCTTTTTTTGTTGTCTTTATCTTTATGCATTCTTAGTTCTGTTTTTAATAATGTAAGTTGTCAATGGAGGTTTTTATTTTGTTTTGTTCTTTTGGGAGGAAGATATCCAGATAATCCAGCATGTTTAACTCAATCAGATCATATATTAGGGCCACTAAATAAAACATAAGTAAAAATGAATCAAAAACAGTTTCGAATTTGGTATTTTAACTTGCAAACTCAAATTTTACCTGAGGACCAATCACAAGTCTTGAATTGCCAACAGAAAGCTGTTGCAAATTCTGCCGCTGTGGTTGGTTTTCAAACTCTTGTTGTTGTAGAGCTATTGCGAGTTGCAGATCAGAACTGATAAATATTACAGCATAAGTAGGAGAATATCAATAAACAACCTTATGAAAAATAGTACAAAAAATTAGCAGGCGCTTTTTTATAACATCAACTGTAATAAACTTGTATTGATTTCAAAAAATATGCGAGACCAACATAATTTCTAATAGCTTTGAGACGATGGGCCCAGTACATGAACTAGGGGTGCAAGTTGGGTACCCGAGTTGAAGAATTTACAGAGAGCATCAGGCCTGGGCGTAAGTTTTAAAAAATGCTCAATGCCTCAGTCCAAGCCCGCCCAACTTGCAGCCTTAACAAGAACAGACTAGGGCTGACATACAATAAGCAAACAAAATTGAAAATAGAGTTACAATTTCACCCTGGGCTTAAGTCCCTCAAATAAGTTCTCCTATTCACCCCTGTCCTAGCTAGAGACCCTGCTTGGCTATTGGAAGATCTAGATATCCATGTGAACAAGCAATTCATAATGGATAGCAAGGCCTAAGCTTCTCTAAGCTGGTTTTACCTCGAACAGAACTTTATAGGACAACATTATTAAACATAGAAATGTGATAGTTCCATTTTCCTTCCCAAGGGAATAAGGTACAATGCAGTATAACCCTTGGCTAAACCCATAAGCAGCATTTGAGGCATTTTCAGGATCTTCAAAATTGTCCTTACCTTCACAAGGGTTCAGCTGCTTAGGAGGGAAATATAGGCAAATGCAAAGAAAAACTTCTGATTCAGTAAGGTCATCAAGGCCCGTTTGGCATCACTCCAAAGAATCATTTCTAGTGATTCTTTTGATTTTAAGAATGAGAATCGTGTTTGACTTGCCCAAAGCATACGTTTCTCATTCGAAATGGAATGAGAAAACTCATCCTGGAGCGCAATTCCAGAGTGACAAATTTTGATTCTGAAAATGAGATTCTTTGGAGCGCTAATTCTCGCTACGTGCTCCCTTTAAAAACCGAACACATGCGCCATATTTACATGTGAGAGTAGGGGTGAAATAGTAAATTTCCGCAAAAACAAAACCTTTATTGATCAAAACCCCCAAAAAACCCATTGTTTTTTCCTCTCTTTCTTCCCCCCACCCTCTACGACGGCTAACTCTGCTCTTGAACCACACTTGGACGACAGTAGAACTCTCAAGTATGCATGGTTTTTTTTTCATTTTCATTATGAAAACAAATATGCGAATGACCCGTTAAACTGTTTTGGGTCTACCAATCAAAACCCTAGACTGATGGTTTGTTCATCTCCTTCTTTCCCCCACCATCTCTAATGGCTAACTCTGCTCTTGAACCACACTTGGACAACAGTAGAACTCTCAGTTATGCATGGTTTTTTTTTTCATTTTTTACGAAATGATCTGTTAAACTGTTTTGGGTCTACCAATCAAAACACTAGACTGATTGTTTGTTCATCTCCTTCTTTCCCCCACCATCTCTACCAGTGAACTCTGCTCTCCAATGGCACTTCAACAACGTCAATCTCCCAGGTAGGTATTTTTTCTTTTATTATTTTTTCATTTTCGTTATGAAAAGCCATTACTGAAATACCCATTATTCTGTTTCATGTTTGCAATTTGTTGGTTTCCACATCTATCCGGTGATAAACACCCACTTTGCATTTTTTCCCATTTTGTTGAAATTTCATTATGAAATTTGTTCGATGATCGATTAAAACCCTCTTTTGGTCTTTATCTGAAATTAGAGCACAGGGTCATGTCAAACATGATTCCTGTTCTTAGAATCAAGAATTAGTACTCTATACCAAGTGCGTGCACTAATTCTCAGGATCCAGAAAATCCAGATTCCATTCTTTTTTGGATGGATTCTGAATATGAAAATCCAAAGAATTGATGCCAAACAAGGCCCAAGTGTATGTTAGGGCTCTTCCATTAAAAATAAATTGTTTTTTTTTGTGATGCTACGCAGGGATAACTATTACATCCCTGTATTGCGCCCTCACATTAATTTTGCCAAGATCACAGTTATGGCAGTTGGGGAGGTCTTGGGTATAGAGGAGTTGGCTGTGACAATGTGGGAAGCTTTCCATGTGTACCATCTGAATACTTGGAGGCTACATTTGGGAGGTGAAACATGTCTTGAAATTGGTTTTGAGAGCTACTGATAGATCAGTAAAGGGGATTGACTTCTAGGAAGGTAGACACTTGTGAAAAAGGTCATAACTTCCCTCTTGTAGAGTGTTTTAGCAATCTTGTTACTTGGGCTGTGTTTGGTTTGAAAGAAAAGGTAGAGAAAGGTAAGGAAACCTATACATGGTTTGTACATGTTTCCCTACCTTTTCTTTCAAACCAAACACAGTATTAATGACTTCCAATCCCTATCCCAACAGGGGGAAAAACTGATATTCTTGAAAAACATCAAAAAAGGGGAAGAAAACTGCTGATGTTGGAAGGATGAATTCAAGTTCCAATTTGTCAATTGAGTGAAGGTTTGCGGATCTCCTTGCTCAATAAAGTAAGGTGGAAATTCAGTCATGAGTTGGGTAGTTTATGGGAAAAGGGGATACACCAAAGTACAGCAATTGACATTTGTGGTTGCACAAGAATGAAGTTAGGGCCTCATATAGATGCTAGATGTGGAAAGGACTTGAAAAGGCAATGGAGTAAATCAGTTTTTTGATGGCCACCATCTCCCAAGGACAATTTTCCTGCTTTTTGCATTATTACACTTTATAGAGGTGAGGTGATCTAGGATTGCTATAAAATAGGCCCTTGAGGGGTAATTTGGCAGTAAAGATTTCAAAGAAACCTTAATGATAGCTGTTGTTATTGATAAAAAAAAAAGAAACCTTAACGATAGGATGTGATGATAGTAATAGAAGCATCGAAGATTTTCATGATGTGCTCCTTTTTTTCTTCTCTTTTCTTTTTCTTTTTCATTGTTTTATTTGACAAAAAATGACAGTATAGACAAGTATTATATATTTGAATAGAAATGTATTACATATCTATACAATAATGTACAAATCTATAAACAACCAGCTCCCTGACAACAAAAATTACTCGGTTAAGGAGTTGCTGTTATACAATGAAATCCTATTAATCCCAGATTTAGTGAGGCCACCTTTCTTTTGAAGACTGTGTTACCCAAGAATACCTAATGAAGAGCAACATTGAAAGTTGTCTATACTGTCATTTATGGCAAAATCCATAATCCATGACCCCCCCCCCCCCCAAGTCCACCCTAATGTGGCATTTATGGCATAGACAGCAACATTGAAAGAATACCTAATGAAGAGCAAGCAGCTGATACAGATCACCACCTTTTCACCCATGGAAAATTAAGCACCTTCTTTGGGCCCATCTTCAAGAATGTATTGGTGTGAGAATTGAGATATTATTTTCAAAGTGTTATGAGGAAACTTTTGAGAGCTGGCAGCTAAGAAGGTTAAGCACGAGGTAAAACAGCATAGGCAATTTCTCAATCGGCCATCATTTGACTATATGAGCAATCTGAGGTGAAAGGAGTTAAAGAAATTAGCTAGTAGTGTATTTAAAGGTACACACCCACAAAGACTTCAGGGAAGTAACCCATCCCCTAATTTTCCCCTTGGTTCCTGTATATGAATCACTGATAATATCTTGGCATTATATACTGGGAACCATTCAATAGGTCTCTTGTTACAGGGACTTGTTGTAGATGGGTTTCATGTGTATATCTTCACCAATGTTTTAAGAGCTGGAGCAGACCAGTCAGTTGGTCCAGGCTTGATGGAAACCAATCATGTTTCTGGTCCAAGACCAACTGGATTGAACCTTCTGACACTGGGTTGAATTGAGTTTGAACTGAACTTTTTACAACTCTAGTTTGCTGGTCTGTCAGGTTTTGGCAGCAAACTTTACACAATTTCTAAAAATTAATATTTTTTTATCAGAAACAGTGATAAAAAAGATTTTGTTAATAAAGGTGATAAAAATATAGACAATTATACCCCCAACATTTCAAAATAAGGAGAAGAAATTGGTTAGGAAGAATTACTTTAAAGTTGAACCAGCTCCTGTTGAATTATCTATGCTAGCAATAAAATCCTGAAGGGAAAAAGAAAGAAAGAAAAACAGCATTAATTTCATGGAGACCACCTAAAGTAACTTCTAAATAGCTTGGGGTCAAAGAGATCCATACAGCAGTGCTAGCCATAGCATTTTGCTCATCCCACTGGTCATTGATGTGATCTTCTATTTTAAATTCCTTGAAGTTGCCTGTTATAAATACTGTATCTCCATTTACCTGAAAGCAGGGTTTTGAAATTACAGTAACAGTGAAAACAGAAAACAGGAAAAGAAACAGCATTTGTAGCTCATGGATAATTTCTTTCTCACAAAGAGGTACTAAGGATGATTTGACAAACATTTGGGGATGTGAAGAAACATAGGAAGACACATCATCATCAGATAGCTCTCAGAAGTAATTATCACTGAACACCATTGGCAAAGAGAATGAAGATGGGAATAATCTTACCTCATTTAACTTTTCCCATACCAAATCAGGTTGGTTTATGAAACCTTGATCAGTGGCTAGAAGATATAGTTCACCATTAAACTGCAAACAGTGTCAAGAAAATTATAATTAACCTGCAAGTAATGATAAAAGAATACGGACCACTAGAATCTCCATATGTTTTGTCCATGGTTTAAAATGTGCATAAATTCCCTCATATTTCCATTTCTATGGGTGCCAACATGAATTTTTATTGGAATCAACATATTCCCCAACGAACACTACTGATACTATGTGGAGTACAAGAGATAGTATTATAACATGAATTGGTGGCAATATTGTAGATATGTGGAGTAGCAATGTTGTTGCACGCTTAATGGATATGATTACCACTTTGAGCCAGCTTGATATTCTTTTCAAATATGGAGATAAATATTAGTTTTTGTTCGTGTCATAAATTATTTGGTTGATATATTAGAATCATATGGATTTTCTATTAGATTAAATTTTGCTTGAATTCATTCTATCACATAGTTTTTTACTCCTAAGGTTTATAGAACTTCACAATGATTTGGAACAAGATAATAATTTAAAAAGGTGTGCCTACATTTCTTTTATCATTCATAAAATATCATTCTATATTTTTTTTTGCATACTCACAATATTTCCACCATGTCTATAATTTTTACAGCATTTCCATATGATAATTTCAACATTTCCAACATGTTCCCTATATTTGGATGACTGGAATTTCCCCCAACACTGATATTTTAAACCTTGGTTTTGTCTTTCCATAATTCAACAGCTACAATAGTTTGTAAACAAAAGATAGCAAGAATAAATTGAAGTTATAGGGAGAAAACCAAAAACAAACTGATGAAAAAGGTCTTTTTGGTGCTTGTCTCCTAATTGGTGCATTCTTTGCAAGGCTAATTGTGAAAGCTCCTACCATTTATTAATTTCTTGTCCCTTTACTGCTGATCTTTGGGACTGGTTTCTTTCCTTATTTGGTTGCAGGTGGACCCCACTGCCAAATATTCAAAGCTTGTTTATCTCTTCATTCCTTCGATGGCCAAACAAAAGGGGAAGGATTATGTGGAGGTGTGTAAGGGTTGCTTTCTGCTGGACTCTATGGGAGGAAAGGAAAGACACAACTTTTTCTAAAGATGAAAGAAGTAAAGAAAGTCTTATTGAAGTAATAACAGTTAGGGTGATGCACTGGCTTAAATCCTTGGACCTGTTTGTTGATGTTTCTACAGACATATTGCTGAATAGCTGGATGGAGGTGGCAATTTTCGCTCCTGCTCACTCTTCTGTTTGTCCTTTGTGGTCACCACCAGGTTGTGGCTTTGCAAAGCTAAATTTTGATGGTAGTAGTGAGGGAAATCAAGGTCCATCAGGTGTAGGAGGGGTCTTCAGAGATGAGGATGGGAGGGTGCTTGCAATGTATTCAGGTCCCATTGGGGTTGGGGACTCTCTTAAAGCTGAGGTCTATGCTGTATTGGAGGGTATAAGGAAGACTAAGGAACTGGACATACAAACGTTGAAGGGGACTCAAAGCTGGTGTTAAGCTGGCTACAGAAAGAAAGTGGACTTTGGAAATTTGTTAATGAGAGGGAGATTAAGTGGCTAACTAGAGAGCTGGAAATCCAGTTTCAATGGGTTAAGAGAACAGCAAATGCATTTGTTGATGCCTTGGCAAAGCAGGGAGTGGGAAGGGATCAAATGTTTTGGGCTGTTTTGTAATTTTTTTCTTTTGTTATCCTCTTGGAGAGAGTTAAGCCTTTTTATCTCTCTCTGGAGTGCTGTAACTACATTTTTTTATTAATCTATTGGATTCCTATTATTGATCAAAAAAACAAAAAACAAAAAACAAAATGATGGCAAAAAATATAACTAACCTTGAACATGGTACTAAAGTGATTATTGCGGAAAAAAACACAGAGTTCACGTTCCTTCAGACCTTCCTGTAGGCAAAATAGGCTGCAAAAGAAGGAAAGGTGATAAAAAAGGACGAATTATTTAGACTGCAAAACAGAACATAAAGGGCTTAGGTTAGCTGGCTTGCATAGTAAAGGATTAGAAATCAGCATACCCATATATTGTCAGCTGGCTTGCATTGTTTCTTAAAAAGTTCCTAATCAGTTCTCCTGAAGAGATTTAAAGAGAGAGGGAGGTATTTAAGAATATTTACAAAAGAATGCTTAGAATAACAAGCAATTGAAAAAAAAAAAAAAAAACTTGTACAACTATTCTCTGTTGTACAAGATAATTTCACCTTTCTGTTCAGTAATTTCATTCTCAGGACATTGTTCAACTCCTCCAGCTTTGTCAGCTTGCTCAGCAAGAACCATCTCACCTTCATACATAGGCTCCCGGTTTTGATATAGTTTTAGACCTGAATCTAGTATGCACTCTTCCCCTTCATATATGGGTTCACTGCCATCAAGGCTTGAGGTGGCACCCTTGGGTTCATCCATGTGCTTGATTCCACCAATGGAAACATCAGAAACTAAATTTGTTGCAAATGGAGAAGAGAATAGTGTTGTTTTACAACCACTTTGATCTGCTGGCTCACAACAAACTTCAGATGTGGAAGTATCCTGTGCACCTGTCTGTTGAATTTGTTGCTTCTCTCTGTCAATAGGAACATGGTCATTGCATGCAGAAGAAGAATTGCTGTCCAGAAGACGGATAGGTTTACTATGATTCTGGACAGATGCCTCATCTGTAACGTTCCCCACAATTTCAGAAGAAGCAAAATGACCGCCAGGTTCTTTATTATTCAGCTGATCAAGGTTAGCTCCATCATCAAAAAATGAATGATTAGTTTCACTTGAAATATTTTCAAAAGCTATCAAATTAATATTGCAGCTGCCTGAGGCACTGCAATTCCATGATGCAGCTTGTTCAGGCTGATGGAGGATTTTAGATTCATCACCAATACACCCAGAAAATGTATTTTCGAGGGCTTGTGATGCATTCATCTTCAAATGTTCATTTTCATCTGAACTTACAGGCATATTGCTCCCGCTTGCATCAGCTAACAAAGACTCACCCATTGAAGTTGCTAATTCAGCTTCCGACAACTTCAAGGCTCTCAACAGTTCTGCTTCTTCCTCCATGTCTCCCTTCCTTATTTTCTGATTTCCTGATAAATAACTTGGAGAATCATCAAAGGACCTGACTCTAGAAAGGCATGGTGAGGGGACTCCTAAGGTTGCAGTTGTTGCAGCAGAAAAATCAATACAATCTTCTTCAGGACTGCTTTTATGTTCTTCCTCTGTGTTTCTTGCTTCAAGGGAAACAAGCTCTCCGACAAGAGTGTTGTAAGACTTGGACCCAATTGCATTTGCAGTATCACAATCCTAAAATGAACCAAAGGAAACAATCAATGAGCTGAAAACAAATCATTGATTATCAAACCAATTGACAGAAGTCCATTTTACCAAGTATAACTTTCATAAATACCTATAAAAAGATATGCTACATCAGATGCATGTTTGAGCAATGAAACATTGAAACTGCATAAAAACCAAGCAAATATCTCATTATTTCCACGTTTTCCCTCACTGATAACCTATGGCCATTTGATCTTCTCATATGAGAAAAAGCATGAATTTATCAATAGAATATCAAAGAAAGCACAAAATGCAATTAGGGCTTATATTATCAATGACCATAGAAAGGTGCCTGACATAATTCCTATTTCAATAAGATGAATTTTACATCTATTGAATAAAGAATAGCAGAAGATGACAGAAAATGAAAAGGCATTCATCCAATTCAGAACCAGAGTAACATAAAAGAAAACTTGACTGAAAATTTTTTGTTATCAAATAACAAATAAAAAAGAATTTATTAATAGTAAGGACCATAACCTGCATTCAAGTATATAGGGCAAAATGAAAAACAAAGCACTAATAACTGTTTTGCCATTGAGTTGAAATAATGAGCCCTAGAATCTAATAGTTGCCTATTGTGCAAAATGTAATGAGATTTTCTTTGTCAAAGTTCAAATGCAACAAACCAAAGCACAAAGTAACACTCTTTGCAGGTTGAAAAGATAAGGTAAATAAACTTTGAAGAAAATAACTATAAAAAACCTGCTAACAATAGTTAACCAAGACTTTGAAAAATCATTGACTTCAGTGTCCTCAATCAGGATGGTTATACATGTGAACCAAGAAAGGCTAGGAGCCACAGCCAATCATTTATACACAAATTCAACAACAAAATATACATCTTCTAATTTACTACAGGTTACTATGAAAATTGAAAAATCAATTTGAGAATCTGCAGCCATGGTTTTATATGGAAAGCAGCAGAACATAACATGTGATTTTAAGTTAAAATTTTTTACAAGTGTTTTACATTAAATAATTTTTTATAAGTAATTTAAGTTAAATAATTCCCCGGAATCAATTAACACATAATCATGTTTATGTCCTGGTGCACCATGAGAAGAAAGAGATATCACACAGACAGGTAGTGCACAATATTTTAACAGCCTACAAAGCAAGAAATTATTTGATTGGTCTTTAAGCCATTCCAAGATTTTACAAATTCACTCCAAACTTCACAGGACTAAAAGCTTCCTCCAATTACAACTAACAAGAAAGAATTCTTAAGAAAGTTATAAGCCAATGCATATTCATCTCTAGGGGTTGCAATTTCAGATCCAACTCGCTGAACCTGCCCAACCCACCCATTTGGTGTTGAGGGCCCGGGAATAGGATCTCGTCACGGGTCGGTCCACGGGGAAAACCTCCTGTTTTCCCTTGTTCCTTCCTGCTCGTGATGAACCTATCTTGGC